GAAACTGAGAATTAAAGATACAATCACTATTGTATTCTGTGATTCATAATTAAAAATAGACATTTGACTACGCCCAGGGTCTATTATTTGCGTACCTCTATTTAGCGGCCACCCCTATTAAGCGGCCACAAAGCCGGTCCCCAAGGGTGGCAGCTTAATAGAGGTTCGACTGTATTTCTTTATATCAGTAACTTCCACAAAACGGCTAGCCGCTATTTTGAAAATTTCGGTGTTGTTATATTTATCTGTAGGTGAATATAACAGCTTATTTTTCACTCTGTTCGGTTTCCTTTGTTCTTATCGGGGAATATATTCAATATTCCCCTCTAATCAATTTCCGGTCTAATGATCCCCTCTAATATTCACCTGCAATGTCTTTGCAGCACAAAAAAATGAGAAAAACAACATCACGAAGGCAATATGGCATTAAGAATTATTTCTATTCTGACTCATAAAGCGGCGACCTCGCAATGTGAAAAATAAGTACGTTATTTTGAGGCACCTCGGGGATATGTATACCCCACGTTGCGTCAAAATAACCTATACTATAATACGTCAAATTTGACCAATCAACTTGTAGGATTTGTTATATTCACTTGTGCAAAAATACTAATTTATCTTTACAACTAATTGCGATATTAATTTCTTAACATGTGTTTATCGGCTAACCTACACTTGTCAACTTCCCTTGTGGGAGGAAATGGGAGCAACCGGAGAAAACCCACGACTTTCGGCAGAGCGTTGACTGATTCTTTTCACACGACGGTCCGTAGCGAGAATCGAAGCCACGATCTCAGAAGTGAAAGGCGCTTGCTCTGACGACTGCGCCACCAAAGTCCCTATATAATTAAGGCCCAATAACGACATTGATGATATTGTTACAACCTTGTGTGGTCAACCTTGTAACATTCTTGTTATATCATGACTGTATATCAGACTTGTCTGATACTGATAATGCCATCAACCTTCCTATACAAGTTCACTCAAGTTGTTAACAACTTGTTCCAAACTTGTTACAACAACTAGGAACTAACAGTGCGAACACAACTTATCAACAGCTTGTAAACAGATTTGTAACAACTTGTTTCCGGACTTGTGACAACTTGTGCATTTTTACGTGTCTACTCTGATACCTGCTGATTGACCACCATTAGCTGCACGAAAGTGCGGCTTGGTGAAACTAAATTAAACTAAAGATTTATATAATATCTAAATATTATTCATTGGTGCAGAGTACATTACTCTGGGAGCAGAGCCTGGGGGTACTTTTAACAGTTAACAACTTAAACATTTATAGTGATTACATGCCTGTAGAAAGTAGGAAGTTATGGAGCGACGCTACCTCCAAGCTCTAAAGGGCTAACTCCAAACCAAAATATACACTTGAGTAACTTGTGTAAATGTGTAATTCAAGAGTTGAAATATGAATTCTGGAGTTACTGGCTAACTCCAAAAATGATTTGGAGCTATATAAGTATACAACTGCAAAAATCATTTAGGAGCTAGGCATCTAAGGCTGGAGTTACTGGCTTACTCCAATAATCATTTAGAGCTACGTATAACTCAAAAAAATCATGAAAAAAACAAGGTATTTAAGCCTCGAGTTACTGCCTAACTCCAAAAAGTATGTGTATAGCGAGGCGAGTCAGCATATAGCCGCTAGGTACATACATGTAAGGTTGAAGTTACTTGCTGTGTTGCTAACTCCAAAAATCATTTGGAGCTTGTTATCTAAGCCAGGAGTTACTGACTAACTGGAATAACTGCAAGAACTCTCAGAATGCACTTCTATATTCCGCTGTATTAAATAAGACTGAAATATCGAGAATATGCGCATAAACAGGACATTGACACACTTGGCATTTTGCTCTCGTTCAGAGGCTAAATTTTGATCTGCAGTTGACTGTTGAGGCAAACCCATTCTCGTACACCGCGTCCTTGTCATGCTCTGTTGATGATCGTGTGTATAAGGCGGGCTCTGGGTACGTGAATGTGGAATAGTCTAGCTCCATTTAAAGATTGGCTACCTCCACAAAAATAAAATCTACAGGTATGAGTGATTAAGGTAAATAAACATCTACCTAGAGCCGGGGTGTACATTAGTGTAAATAAATTTTTCTTTAAAGTCACTATTTGCTTTGTCACTATTTGTCGTCAGTCAATGAATTGGCTTTAGCTCGCTAGTGCTATCGATCGGAAAATTATTCTGCCAAACCAGTCGTATCATGAGAGCCTGAAGACCTTGAAGCTGCCTAGGCTTACTGAAAGAAGAAAATCGTTGTCCATGCGTTTTTACAAGAAAATTTATTGTGATACTTCATGAAGCAAACTATTTTGCTGCCCAAACCAATTAACCATGAGCACAATCTTAGACATGCTCGAAACTTTTCGCTTTTTAAATCACATACTATAAACGATTTAGTGATAGTTGTCTTCCTTACTGTATAAGAAAGTGGGACACATTCTAACTATTACAGTAGACTGCCATGCATTCAAGATTTTTAATAAATTGAATTGAATTGAAATTAATTTGATTATTCAGCATGGTTCATACTTGAAGCAATTACTACTGCAAAGCCTCTGCCTTGCATAACTACATGTATTTTAATTATCACTTATTTACTGAGACCGAGGGAAATGGTGTGTTTTGTGGATCGACCCGAGACCGTCGATAGGACCGTCGACCGTTCAATGGAGTACCACTTACTCTCTAAGTGTAGTTTAACATGATCCGTTTTACGAATGTACTTTACACCGTATCGTCGGACTTGACAAAAATATTCTTCGTTCTCCTCTATAAAGTTGGATATTCTCAGTATTTGTCTTTGTACTCTGTTGTTGTAATCAGACGACCAGGCCCATCAACTTGTCGATTTTTGTTCTAAATATACTTTCCATTTGATTGCAATTTAAACCACAACATTTCATAATCATTGAAACTCCCTTAAGGTAATATTTCTACCCTAAATCATTCACGTCAAACCTATTAACTATTTTTACAAGCGTGGTCAGATCTTTATATTTGGCAGACAGGAAAATGACGAAATCAGCTTATATAGTAGAATTAAACATATATTTACCAGCATATATATTGTTATTAAAATTAGAGGAAAACAACTAGTTCGTTTGATGTCTTCAATCCTAATTCTATAATCTGCATGTTATTTAATTAAGTTATTATAAACGCTTGTAAATATAGTTGGGTTTAAAAACGACTTTGAATTAGAGTCGAAATATTTTCTTAAATTCTGTGTCTTGCTCTAACTCGTAATATCTTGAGACAAGTGTTAAGTTTGTTTTATATTTTGGGAAAGTTTCTTCCGTGATGGGCGTGGAAAAGGATAGTTGACGAGAGAAGCCGATCCGGGAAAACATGCACGGTGACATACACTTTAGGAATGAATCAATTATTAAATTTAACAATTATTGAAGGCTTTGGTCTGTTCAAATTTATTGATACTCATCAACAAAAATTTAAAATAAACCTTAATGTAAGTGAAACACGTCATGTCACAGAAACGCCTGGGTGCATGTGTGTTGTAGCACTACGAGCGAAGCCTGAACGGGCTTTTTTACGGCAATACCACACAATTATAGCAACTTACTGGAGCAGTTTGGGACAACAGTATCAGCCAATAGTAGCAAGAGTAAAAACTTTGGAATGTTCGGTAAAATTAAGTTGGACATCTTCGCAACTTTTCACTTTATTCTATAAGAAAAATGGAATACAAACTGTAAGGAATGCAATGTGACAAACAGGCGTAATTGTATACTTGTCACATATTACCTCCCGTTTTCACACATACCTGTGCCCTTAGCAACGCTAGATCTGCAATGACTGAACCTGTATTACTGAGTTGAAGCCACTGTGACTGTGAGTATACTGACCAATGCGATGTTGAGAATGCCTCATTCTATGCATTTCGTTGGTATAAAGACTCCTCGTCATCGTCATATATAACAGTGGTCTATGACCATATGACTACGCATAACACAAATTCTAGAACCTACTGGCTACTGGAATACTGTTCATGCAGTTGCGGATTATTTAATCATCTTTGTCATTTATAATTATATGCACAGGTATTTTTCCGTGTAAGGCCACTATTTGTTGTATATTAGTTTCTCATCCGGGCGGGCCATTACCATTTTGCCATTGTTTGCCGGATATCCCTCTCCGTAAATTTTATTTTGGAAAAGTGTGCATTAAGCATTTATATAGTGCATGCGTACCGGAAAATACAGGAATCGTTGTATATGTTTTATATTACAGCTGCAACTTTCTGAATGTTTCCACACACTGTAATTCAGCATTGCAAAACAGCACAAAATTAGTAAGTGCAACTAGCTGAAACCATGTTTCCATACTAAAAACATGGCCGCTCCACATGTGAAATAATTTTGTAGCCAAGTCGTCTCGCGTTTTTCTTATCTTATAGCCTGCGAGCAGGCTCTCTGGGATCGCAGGCTACTTATCTTATAGCCTGCGAGCAGGCTCTCTGGGGAAAGAGAGCCTGCCAAGGATCCCTTTGATGATTCGGTGCATGCGTCCAATATTTGGACGCAGTGCTCTGATTGGTTGATAACTGATTCATATGAAGTGATTGACAAGCTTCCATAAACTTGCACTTCCCGTTTGTAAAACCGAGCAACGCAAAGCTTCGGAATTGCGGCAATGTAGAGATAAAAGTGTCATGTATTTTGATCCTGGTTGACTTTTTACTGTAAATTAATGTAGTATTCATATAAAGACGAATACTAAAAGCTTGCATGCTTTATTGTGTCCTTGGCTTGTCTGACTCCTAAGCTAAGAATAATTCTTGAGAAAGACTGCACAAATTCGCAAACCGAAACCTAGGGACAAGGCATTATATCGCTTCTCTTTTATGAAACAATATTGGGAATTCTGATAATATTCAGTGCATATTGTGTGTATTAAGCTTGTTTTACAATGTTATGCTGACTATTTAATATTTATAAGTATGCGGCGTTAAAATGTACAGTAATTTACTCGTCACTTTGTTTACAATAATTATCACATGCATGTTTACTGCAATTCCACTTTTTGTTGCAAAATTTAAACTATAAACATATTATTAAATTATGTCCAATGTCCATGGTATATCATATATGTCTATGTCTCACCAAAGCCATAAATTTCAGTAAGTTATATTATTACTATATATAGACTGTATACAGTGACAGTGTATATTATATATTGCAGCACGAAGCAATTCCAAATAACTGAATTAGTTAGCGGGTAATATACAACTTTAAACTTACTGTGCCTACAGGAGAAACACATGCAGATTGTAATAAAAAGTACAACTTGATATATTGCTCTGTAAAACCTCGAGCCGTTTTAACTTTTTAGTATGCCACAGTGGCGGTCTGTATACGAAACTATTAACGAATTTGAAACGAATCGGTTTATGTTTACAATATCGTAGTGTATTCCGGTCTGCGTTGATTGGTTGTTATTAATTGACCTGTGACATCATAATTGAAGGGTGGCACGCAATCATCATAGGGATCCTTGCAGGCTCTCTTTCCCCAGAGAGCCTGCTCGCAGGCTACTTATCTTATGGCTTCTAGAACTTTTATAGCTGAGTTTGCATATTTGATAAGCTGAGTTTGCATATTTGTGCACGTAAGCTGTATGCAGCTAAGCAGCTTTTATAGCTGAGTTTGCATACAGTTTGTGTACGTAAATGCGAGTGGCAGTTTTGGTATGAAATTTCGTATTTTAACTATAACTTTTGGTTTGGAAACGTTTCTAATTGTCTTTCTTAGTTCAAATTTCGCATTACGAAAGACATTACGAAATTTATAATAATGGTCAAAAATGGCAATAATGGCGAACAAGACCATTTTCTTAAAAAGTATGTATAAATAAAAATGGGCCATGCACGCATTTTAATAAGGTTACCGCCGAGAGAAAATACAATGATTTGCTCGTATATAGACGTAGCCTACAGTTATATCAACTTCAATAAAAACCATAGTGATTCTTATAGAAAAGTATGAGATAATCAGTTGCTATAGTATCGCTGATGATTCGACCGTATAAGGAAGTTATTTGAGGAAGCTTAATATTAATTAAACTGCACGTTGACGACCAGTCGACCACCAATTAATACATTCTTTCGATTGGTATTTAAATAGTCTACGGACGGTCAAATATATCTTGAAACATCATGCAACTCAGATGAAAGCAAATTTACAAACGACACTAAATACGCGAGTTAGATAGGGATATTGGACATAATTAGTCACTACATATTTTGTTTCCTTGTTAAAATAATGGGATCCAGAATTGTGGAGACCTCTGGACCCACAGACACAGTATATCAAATTTAAACAAGCTCCCGTACTGCATAACAACTTATTAATCTTTGGCTTTTTTCAGTAGATTATTTAAGAAATAGAAAACATCCCTGTTTCTGTACAGTTATAGAAACACGCGTGGGAGTTTGGGCCGTAGAACGAGAAATGGCGGGTTATCCACGTAATATCGTAGTTAACTCGGTTTCTTTTCTTTCAACAGGGGCGTTTAATCACGTATTTCCCTCATTACCGGCATACGCTTTTGTCTTCTAAATTTCCCCGGGAAATTTAGTTGAAAACAAAGGATTTCTTTGTCTTCAAATTTTCCCTGCATGCTTGATGAGGGAAATTTAGTTGAAAACAAAGGATTTCTTTATCTTCTAATTTTCCCCTGCATGCTTGATGAGGGAAATTTAGAAGACAAAAGCGTACCTCGTTACCTCTGATTGGAGAGCTGTACCTCATCGAAAATCATCGGCACAACACACCACGCGCGATTCCCTCGTTAACTATGATATTACAAAGTAATAGCATGGCATTACGGTCGATTAGTGATGAAATGTCCCTCAAGCCTCGAGAGGTTTAGTAAAAGATTATCTTTTACTAAACCTCTCTCGGCTTTCGGGTACATTTAATCACTAATCGCCCTGAATGCCATGCTATTACTTATAATTATTTCGAGTTATCCCAAACTACCATGCAAGTGCATCTGTCCCTATACACTCTATAGAAATACAGGGAAAATGTTTTCTATTTCTTGAATAAAACTCAAAGAACGTTTTTCTAGTTGTATATTTTTATAATATAAAAATTTAAGACAATTAAAGTATCCCCCGCAGAATTACATAATATATAACTAGCTTGCCCGGTGATAACAGTATAACACGTTGTCTTTAATTTTAATACTTTCAGAGCCCACGCAGTATGCATTAATTGTTGAGAATAAACCACAACAATCCGGAAGGACCAGGAGCAGTTCCGTCTTCGAGATGAATCATTTGAATATATGCCCGTGGGAAAATGCCGTTGAACATTAAAGATGATCTCCACTCCGTTCTGCGCATCAGTTCTGCTCATAACAAAGGGGGACCCCCAGATATAAACATTGCCCAAATTTTGCATCTTTCGAATTTTTTTAATTGAAACGTAGAGTTTATATTAATTTACAAGCATGGCGAGCCAGAAAAGTGTTAGATATTCAGTTTGTATATTATATTTCACAAATATAGCAGTTCAAAACGTAAACAAAGTTCGCACATGCGTACACGAGTGGACATCATCTTTAACAATTACTAAAGTACAAAGCCCGTATGTCAACCGCATTCCATACATGCAATGCATCGTTTTAGAAACTGATGAAATTATAATGTAAAGTAAGAGTGTAACACATGCAGTCCACAAATTTTGACATCAGTCTAACTTTTGCCATAGTGTTTTGAGTAAGTACGTACAAGCCTAATTTGTGTGGACTATATAAATATTAAATATAGCTAAATCATATCTCGCCTCCTGCTGTGCTATTTTAATATTAAAGTATAAACTGCTTTTTCCGATAAATTGTTTTTACTTTAATATAAAACAAAATAAGTTGGTGTAAAATCTGCAATCTTGGTGTAAAATAATGTGCGTATTAATTAAGGCATTTCGTAAATTTGCAAAATCAGACAATCCTGGCATAAACTAATGAAACATCCAGTTTGATTAACAATTTAATTTATTCTTCCCAATTCCCCCCTTCCAATGTGATTAAGACTCTGAGCAAGAAATCTACACATAGTGCTCTCTGCCATCGATGAACTATTGTACACAATTTTTTAGACTCTATGTCCAACATTGTGCAGGGGGGGAGGGGATTCTGTCTGTTTTATTGATTTTTTATAGGTGTTTCATTAACTTTTTGCCAAGATTGTAGTGTCGCGCGATCGCCGACTTTTTGCGATCACTTTTTTTTCAAATGCGCGCAGTCAACCTCATCCGTTGCGCTTGATTGCTTGTATTTCAAAAGAAAGTGATCGCAAAAAGTCGATCGAGCGACTTTTTCCACTGAATGGAAATCCGACTTAAAGTGGAAGTCAAGTCCGTTCTGCGCATCGGTTCTGCTCATAACAATGTGAGGACCCTCTAATTTAGGCCCTGTTTACACTATATACACTGGTCACGACATCTTCTTTTGCCGTTACGGAGCAATGGTTAGTAGCAAATGCTTATTAGTTTGACAGAATTGGCATGTTTATTTGGGTCTCTGAAATTAAAAATCTTCACAGCCTTTCGATAGCCACAAAATTTGACCCACTCCGATAGCAATCCGGTATAGTGTAAACGGGGCCTTAAAGGTGTTCTACAGTCCGTATGTAAACAAAGCCTTTGTTTACATTTTTGTGTCCAAAATATTGAGCTTTATTCGACAACTATTTATATTTTCAAGCTTCTAAAGTATAATAAATGATCAAGAAACAATAATCAGGCTTTTCAAGAACCCAAAACATAGTTAAACTGTTTGTATCATAAAAATTGGGCTCCTTTGTGCACATGCGCAGATCGGACTGTAGATCACCTTTAAACATTGCCTAAATTTCGTATGTTTCGAATTTTTCTAAACATAAACTCTATTTCATATTTACGGTGGCCCACAAGTGTCACGGCGAAAGTAAGTAGCCACGGCAAAATTAAATTAACTCACGGCAAAATCAAATTAAGACAATTAATTCACGGCAAAATAAAGTTAACTCACGGCAAAATAATGTTAATTAACTCAAGGCAAAATAAAGTTAACTCGCGGCAAAATAAAATTAACGAAATAGAATTAAGAGCAGTGGGGGGGAGGGGGGGGGGCAAATGCCCCCCCAAATTATTTTTTGCCCTCCCCCACCCTCAAAAAAATTATTAGTCTCTAAGAGCGACTAAAGGCTACACAAGCGTTTTGTCGTTATCTGAAAATGTATGGCTTATAAGTTGTCATTACTCATTAGTGAATGCGCGTATACATGAAACTGTTTTTTACATTTTCAATATTAGTTTGTAAATCTCTGAATGGTAAAACTTGCCAATACTCCAATAATACGTTTAAAAAAAAAGACAAAAAAGCTTTAGTTTTGCAGAGTTAAATTCTCAAACGTGTAAGACGTATCACGAAATTATTTGAATAAACCACATCGCATATAGGGGGGACGAATGTCCTAAAGAGGGGCGATATTCCTAGGATATTCGCCCCACCCCCCTGGGAGGCGATATTCCTAGGATATTTGAGGGGGGGCGAATCTCCTGGGGGGGGGGCGACCTTTTTAAAAATTCTATCTTGCCTCCCCCAAAATTTGAGTTTGCCCCTCAAATGCCCCCCCCCCAAATTTGGAGGCCTGGCGCCGCCACTGATTAAGAGACCTAAAACAAAATGGCCGGTACCGCGCTCGACTGTCTCGTTTCGCTTGTGAGTTATTTCTTCAGCAAATTATAAACTGTCTATTAATCTTCTCTGACTTTCCTTCCTATATAGTTCTTAATTATTTGTTTACTGTTTTAAGCTGATTTGTTTAGGTAGGTGGTACATGACTTTTGTTATAGCTTATAATATACAGTCAGAGAAGATTAATAGCTTAATTTGCTGAAGAAATTACTCACAAGCCATTTTGTTTTAGGCCTCTTCTAAGGCCGGACCTTCCAACGTTGAATTAATTCTATTTCGTTAACTTTATTTTGCCGTGAGTTAATTTAATTTTGCCGTGAGTTAATTAACTGCTCTATTTTGCCGTGAGTTAATTTAATTTTGCCGTGAGTTAATTAACTAGCTACTTTATTCACAGGCGGCCCAATTTCGCAAGGGTCAGTATAGACTTATAGTATAAATGTATATTATATTAATGTATATTTAATATGAAATTGACTTGCCTATTTGATAGTGTGTGTTCTCCCTTTATTTCCTCCTTTGTTGGACTAATATTTTCCGAGACTTTTGTACTCGATGTTATGCGCGAATCAAATCGAAACCTTGACATTCCCCCCCCCCCCGGACATACCTGGGGAATTTGCTTGTTTAGTATTTTAAGAAGGCGGGAATTTGACCTTTTTTCTAGTGGAAGGTGGGGAATTTGTTAAGGGAGTCGGGAATTTGAATTTTTTTTTAAACACGTGTGCCACGCAGAGTGTACCACGCAACATCAAAGCCAGGGCCGCAGAGAGGGGGGGGGCGGGGCAGGGGGGGGGGCAAATTGCCCCGGGGCCCCGAGTTGCTGGGGGCCCCTGAAAAATTTGTGTTGGGCCCCAGCCTTTTTTGTGTGTTAAATATTTCCGCGCAAAGGACAAGAGATCTGTTTTCTTGGGCTAAGTACCGAATTTTGGCATAAAAAAATGAGATAAAGTCCCTCAGAAGCAATTGCAACGTACTCGTCCGGGAAAATTTTGTATTCCGGAAAATTTTTTTTACCCCTAAAATGGTACATGGGGGGGGGGGAGGTTGTTCTCCGGAAAAAAATTTTTCCGGGAAAAAATTTTTTAGATAGGGGGCCCTAAATAAAAATTTGCCCCGGGCCCCCGCCAACCTCTCGGCGGCCCTGATCAAAGCCATCAAAGCGCCTGGGTACGAGCTATGGTACGAGGCTGCGCCATTTGCTGAATTCAAAATGGCGTCAATGGATGACTTCAAGTGCAAAGGAATTAACTTTGTCCTTGGTTGACTGAAAGAAAACGGCTTTGAACGATTGAAGAGAGTTTTTGAAGGAAAGAAAAACTTTGTAATTCCAAAATTACGAAATGTTGTAGCTTCCAATTCGTACATGGGGTGGGGTATTTGAACTCCAGTTTTTCCCAATACGTGGTGTATTTGAACGGGAATTACAAATATATGTAGGGAATTTGACCTGACCAAAACGTCAAAATCTAAATTCCCGGGGGTATGCCCGGGGGGGGATGTCAAGGTTTCGATTTGATTCGCGCATTACTAGTATACATGAAACATGATAAAGGCTAACGATTCCCGATCGCCGATACGACGGCACGGCACTTCGAATCGAAAATTCTCACACTCAAATCACTTTATTGTCAAAAAAAATTCGCCAGCATGTACAACAAATGCCGTTCTTCGAAAATACAGAGGTATTTCGGCGAGATGTACAAGTTTTGGACCATATTTTAAGAATGGAAATCAAAACCCATTTTATATTGAACTTACCCGGACCGAAAATTACTACGGCAAACGTCTGCGCAACCAGGCCTTCTTTACCGTTGGATTTACAGGGGGGGGGGGAAGCAGATATTTCCGGTAACAGCCAGCCAATCGCGGCCGCGATAGCTACTGTTTACATTATTTTAAATTTTAACCTGAGTATCAGGCCCTCGGTATTGAAGAGAGCCTGACACAATTCGCCTCTACGGGCTTTCCACCCCCAGAATATCAGCCAATTAAAATTATTTCCGGTTGTAGCATATTTCCGGTTGTCCGCTACAGGTATGTAAATACGCAAATTTCGTTATTTGCAGTTTTGTATAAATTTGAACAAATACGGAGAAAAATCGGTATGTTTTTGTCGAAATATCCACATGATGGAATTCTAAGCGTAAACTATGCCTCATTCGGGGAACCATAGCTCGATGGCTTTTTCCAGGAGTCTAAAGAGACAACATTCGGCACTCTGAATAGGATTTCTTCTTCCTCGGTCCTCGTGTCATGTTAATAGTTTATTCGAGACAGCTATTCGCTTCAACTGCGTCTGACACAGTGGCTATTGTCTTCAATTTCTGCCTGATGTTGGCATATTAGTTCGAGCGAGCTGACTACTATATCCTTGCAGGTCTTAGAAAACAGCTGGGCAATAAACTGATAAACAAGGCTTCAGCTTTTTGGAACTAAATATTTGAAAATTTCCATTTGAAATTTTCTAATTGTAGAATCGTATTCCTTGGTGATTTTAATAATTTTGATGTTCGAACCTAACCCGTAGTCTTAGTTTGAAGCAAGTCGTTTCTGCTCCTACAAGGGGGTCATCCACCCTTGATCTCATCGTCACCGATTTACAAGATTTTTATGACAAGCCGCATATTCTTGCTCCGCTAGGGTCTGCTGACCATAATATAGTACGATGGGTTCCTAATAAAGTTGATGCTATTACCAAACCTAAACCGATTAAGCGTCTTATACGCCGCTATCCGCTATCCGCCTTGAATTCTTTCGGCCGATGGGCCAGCACGCATCAATGGTTCAGTAATCTGGGTCCAAGCCCTTCCGTAGATGACCTAGCTAATTCCTTCTCATCCCAAGTATCTACAGCATTTGACAGTCTTATTCCCCTGAAATCTGTTAGGTTTTGCCATTCCGATAAATAAACCATGGATGTCTGTGTCTATCAAAAAACTCATTAATGACCGTCAAAGAGCTTTCCATGGTGGAGATGTTCTGCAGTGGAGAACTTTGAAATATAAGGTCCAGACCGAAATAGCCGTAAGAAAGAAAGAATATTACAAAACTAAAGTACAACATCTTAAGAAAGACGATTGCCGAAAGTGGTGGCAAGTCGTAAATAAGTTGTCTGACCGATCTCAGAAGTGTACTAAACTTACCTTTGAAAAGGAAGGTGAATTATTATCAGATTTAGAACTGGCCAATAACTTGAACAAGTTTTACATCTCGGTTAACGCAGACATTCCACCACTAGATATAACCACGTTACCAGCATACTTACCTGCTGTTGATCAAGTGCCTTACATCGAACCGCACGAAGTCTGTGAGAAATTATTGGTCGTTAATGCCTCCAAAACATGTGGTCCTGATAATATTCCAGGTCGCCTTTTGAAAGAATTTGCGCACCTTTTCGCTGAACCAGTTGCGAAAATCTTCAATATGTCACTTGCATCCGGGATTGTTCCAAATATATGGAAAGACTCACATATTACTCCCATTCCAAAAGTTAAACAACCAACTGACGAGGGTGACACAAGACCCATTTCACTAACGCCATGCCTTTCTAAAGTTCTCGAAGATTTTGTCGTTAGATGGATGATCTCTGACGTTAGGAATAATATTGACGCACAACAGTTCGGTTCTTTAAAGGGTTCATCCACGACCTATTGCTTGCTCGACATGTTGCATTGTTGGCTTTCTCATTTGGATTCAACTGGTCATTTTCTTCGCATATGCTTTTTGGATTTTTCAAAGGCCTTCGACCGTATTGGCCATAACATTCTTATCCAAAAACTTGTTGATATTGGCGTTAGGCGATCGTTAATACCATGGATCGTAAACTTTCTATCAGGGCGAAGACAGCGGGTCAAATTTGCGGAAGCTGTTTCTTGTTGGCTTCCTGTCACAGCCGGTGTCCCCCAAGGTACGAAGTTGGGTCCGATCCTGTTCTTAATTATGGTCAATGATTTACAATGCGGTTCGGGGAGGTCTAGCAATTGGAAATTCGTTGATGATGTTACTATCTCTGAGGGTTTATTAAGGAATGGGGAACCGTCTGTAATCCAGTCTGATTTAACTTCTATAGCTACATGGGCATCTAATAACCTGATGAAATTGAACGCAAAGAAATGCAAAGAGATGCAAATTTGTTTCTTTCGGAACAAACCTGAACTACCACACTTGTGTGTTGAAGACCAGATCTTAGAATGTGTACCGTCGCACAAGGTTCTTGGATTGATTATCCAGGATGACCTTAAGTGGAACGAACATATTTCGATGATTGTTACCAAAGCATCCAAGCGACTGCATATCCTACGTGTCCTACGACGGGGAGGGATTCCACCGCACGACCTTATCACAATTTATTATGCATTGATTAGATCTACATTAGAATATCGTTGTACAGTATGGCATTGTGGTCTACCTATGTATCTGTCTGAACAAGTCGAGAAAATTCAAAAACGTGCACTGAGGATTATACTGCCAGGTCGATCCTACGGTGAAGCGCAAGAAATGTTGCAGTGTCCTAGGCTGGATATACGTCGAGGTGAACTTTGCGAAAAGACGATAAAAAATATTGCATTGGGCAGTCGTCTTTCTTCCCATCTAACTCTCACCAGTGAAAACGAACATTTGTATAATTTAAGGAATTTTAAACAATTCGCTTCTTTTAAATATAGAACTGATAGATTTGGTAATAGTTTTTTCCCTAGCATGATTAGTGTTTTAAACAAATAATTGTTCTTAGTTATAAGTTCTTATTTAATAATCTAATGATACATTGTAATATAGTTACTTTTAGTATTGTAATTCCCATTCAAATCAATTGTAAAACACATTGTAATTCATTTTCATGCGATGATGTGTTATTAAAATACCATTATTATTATTATTATATCAATGAGATTTCTAATAGTGATGCAATATTGGTTAGAAGACTAAGGGGGAGTTTACATTGAAAGGTAATTGGTTCAAGTTGCAAGTTCTAGTGGTATCTCCTATTACATTTCATTTTCATTTTATATGGAAATGAGCTGGCATGCCTCATGACAAGAGTCTACTGTAATTGCTTTGCATTGCCCGAGTTATTGGGCAATTACTGTACACTGGATATTTTGCAAACAAAGATGATTACCTGGGCTTGCTCGCCTACCATAGTTGAGTATATATGCTTTGTCTGTGCAAATATAATTTGATGTAAGCTGTATATGTCATTCTCCTGACAGATTTTAATCTTAGAATGATAAAATGATGGACGGTATAAATACTGTATGTAATTGTAACTGGTGTTATAGGATATAATTATGAAATTTGCTCACAAAAGTGGGATAGTTTGGAAAATATATTTAATAAAATTATATATTTGTAGTGCTAATTGTCCCAATACTATATACCCTGAGGATTACCATTGATAAGTGTATGGATATATTTGACAAAGATGTGCATTTATATAATAACACAGGGAAAATATTAATCAATACTACTGTGCAGCCTTTCTACATTGACAACATCTTAAAAGAATACTATATTAATATTAGTTGAAAGGCAGGCAAAAGGGAACAGATAGAAGACATGATTCAATTATGTCATGGTATATTGTTTATCATAATGATTGTACAGTTTGGTAGGTTCATTTGACAAACAATTTCCAATTTCCAACCAAGTTCATTAAATCAATTTACACACAGTCTCTATTAATTTAAAATTTGTGGTCGTGTGTACCTAGTTATACTAATAGAATTTTTAACCCAGTGCTTGTTGTGTGTTAGTTTGCTGGTATCCTGGTCACAGGGCAATATTCTCAGTATTCAGAGTGTGGGCTATTCACCATGCAGTTCATGTCAAAGGCAGCTAGGGGTGAATGAATTTAATGAAATCGACCAACTGATGTCAACCACACTGTCCATACAGAGTAAGATTAGCAGCATAAGACAGAGTTGTATATAAATAAGTTTACCCACTAGAGCACAAAATACCTTTATGCACCATTCTAATGCTAGAAGATTTTACTCATGGAACATTGGAAATTAGTGGAAACTAATAATGGAAGGTGGTTAAAAAACACACAATAACACTGCCTTCTGAGTCCAGCAATGCAACTAGTGGATCACACTGTATACACCTATCTAATATAATTATATCGAATAAACACACACACACATCAACATGTTGCTTGAAGCACTTTGTGTTTATTGCTGCTTAAACGCTCGAGGTAAGAACAAAGCAGTCGTATGACGGCTGTCGACCTGTAGTGTTGTGACTCTAAAGCAAAACACAATGCTATATACATGGATGCACCACTTAACTTATAACAAGGCCCAATTGCGTTCCCGCTTGGACCATTGTGGTCAGGGAACACTGGTCGACGTGAGGCCATAGAATTACGATATGGAATACGGTTTGGATAGCCCTGAAACGGCCGAGACTTTGATGTTTTGGATGCCTTGGCTTTCTTCGCCTTCTTTTCAGCAGTTTTCTCTGCGCGGTCGTTCCGTTTCTCCTCATCTGAATTATCGGCTAGCTCGTTAGTCATATATTCAGCTACGGTTTGCCAACCATGGTCGCTCGTATCAGCTAATTTGATAAGCTTCATTCTTGCTTCTATGGCTACTTTACCTTCTTGTAGGAAGCTGATAGCTTTATCGATATCTTGATGCTCGAGAGCTGTGGTAGCACTTTCCACTGTGTCCAGCACACCAAGCTGGTGATTACATTGCTGCTCATTGCCCTTTGACTTAAATTGAGGTTTCTCTAAGCGAGCCTTCTTGTTCGCGAAGGTTTCTAGCGTCGCTGAATTATCAGCAGACAATTCTCTCTTCAAGTGAGCAAACCGATCGTCGACAACATTGGTAAGCTGTTGGCACATTTGTGTTAACGACTTCTCCATGAATTCTTTCATATCTTTGCCCGAGAGCTCTGGATGAGACAAGTTTGACTGAAGAACGTGTAAGCAGCGAGGAATAATCAAGGCGCGTATACGCCTTTTATACTATTGCATAACAATGTAACATAGTTATGTATTCATATCAGAACATTATTCTGCATATCAAACAATTAGATATAAATTATCTGCTTAACTGCGTAACGCAGATAATTAAAACTTATTACACGCATGTGTGTATTTGCGTTGCTCGTGATTTTTTCCCGAAATATTTTTCAATAGAAAAGTTAAGGCTACAAGAAGCACAGTACTGACTATTTTTGAATAGAGACTTATGTACCACTGCTGCTATTACACTTGTACAAGCAAATATTGTTTTCTTATATAGAGAAATTATGTTGTTTTTACGATATAGGTTCAAGTTTTTTACGTGCTTCCCAAAAATGCAGCGAATAATTTTGTGACTCTGATGTATGGATTGGAACAAAAGAGTTCGCTCAGAACGCAGCAAATCGCATTTCCGAGGTCCTAGATTTCAAAATTTCCCGGGGGAGGATACCCCCGGACCCCCCTACAAATGCGAGGTCTTAGGCATCAGTCACCTCAGAAACTGGATCCGCCCCTGAAAACAAACTATTTCTCTCGGGAGCAGACCATTGTAATTTCTACTTTTAATATTCTTAAATCATATGTTACTACATATTTTTTCTTATAATTGTAAAACTTAATTACACATTCGCCTCGCGAGGCGGTTAGCTCAGCAAGTAGCTCTCGTATGCGGATAGTTTTCGTGAGGATTTGACCTCTCGAGGCCTTGAGGAAAATATCTATCGTGTTTGATATTTTGCACCTCACAAGGAAAAATCTCAGCGTGTGCGGATGTTGTAAGCTAAGTGCTGAGCTGTTTGAATCAATTAGCCAATGACAAACCGTGGTTTCTTCATGTGACTTGGAACAAAATGGAGGAAAATGCAAATGATTTTGTCAATTATGTTGTTGTTGAGTAGTTTTCTCAACGTGTGCGGTGAAAATACATAGCTGAGCAAGCTGCCTCGCGAGGCGGTTAGCTCAGCAAGTTGCTCTCGTGTGCGGTGGGCTTAAGTGCAAAATTGGTTGTTAGTAAAACATTATTATGTATCATGTTATTTGCATATATACAAGTAATTATACGCACCCACGCAATTTCCCAAGAAATCGAGATTGTTTTAAGGACAAAAGATTTTAGGTCCCTGGGCATTTGAAATAGCACAACTGTCAAAATTACTGCACACGCGAGTGCATAAAGCAAAATTTATGCATTTCTTAATAACGTTTTAATTTTACTATACAGGATGTCCCAAAAAACCCGAAAACTATTGAAATCACTTATTGTTAAATTTGAATGCCCTACCAAACAGCTGGACGTAATGATGCGTAAAATATTGACAAGGTGCATGTATTAGAATTTAGTTAGGAATATCTCCTGGTAAAGTGCGCGATTTTCTGTTCCTAGCTGGGAATTAAAAACAACTTCTTAAACAGTTTCTTTATGCATAAAATTTACTTACGCCAATCATTTATGCACTCGTGGGAACCAACAGAGCGCTAAGGCATTCAAATTCTAACAATTAAATTGTTATTGGTGATTTCAATAGTTTTCGTTTTTTTGGGACACCCTGTACAGTACAACAACAGTTAAATTATCAAGGGCCTTGTCAGATGTAGGCTAATACGATCTATTAGCAATTCGATTTCAATTCCCAGGGGCCTAAAATCTTTTATGCTTTAAAGAATTGCAAAGTGGATTTCTTAGGAAATTCCGAGGTTGCGTTTTTTTATACACACTGTACAGGGTGTCTCAAAAAAACCCAAAATCATTGAAATTGACGTATTGTTCGATATTCAATGCTCTAGCACTAAGTTAATCCCACGAGTGCATAAAAGATTGACATAACTGCTATAACGAATGGTAATACTCAGCGTAAACTTGTTATGTCAGGCATAAAGTACTAAACCCACGAATGCATATTACGCATATTACAATTTACGAAGCATTTTTAAATTCCCATGAGCAAACAAACGTTCACTTTACAAAGATATTTTAATTTTTTAAAACAAATTAATCACCCTGTCAAAATCCTTTGTGTTACGGCATTGAAATTCGAACAATACGTTATTTCAATGATTTTGGTTTTTTTTGAGACACCCTGTATAATACCATAGAATAAAGATCCACATGGAAGAGCAACTTGCGTCGGAAGCTTTGAAGTTTCTGTCCTCGCGCATGTCGCATTACGCATGTGTGCCGCCATTTTCCTAGCCAGTCAATGACATTTTCTGGCCAATAAACACGCTGTACTGGCTGGCTGCTCCGCCTTCTGGCCAGTAAACTGCATATTTTTGCATAAAAAAACGAGGACACGTTGCACCGCTGAGTTGCCCTTCTGTTACTGATCTTTATTCTGTGATAATACAGTACAGCTCTTAAATGCCCGGCTTGATATCATTTGAAGCACTGTCGAATCATATGGTCGAATAGTTGAATTTACTGTCCATCATTTGAATATGATTGCCTTTGTAAATCCTACATGAGTCTTTTAATGAGTGTGCTTTGTTTCTACATATACTACATCCATGCTATCTCCATGGATCTTAATCATTCAATTTCTGATGCTTTGATCGTTTCCTATATGATTTACTTTTTTAATTTAACTGTATGACATGTATATGTGAATATCTGCAGCGTTTTGGCACAAGTTTGGTCTTTTGCTACGATAGTATTCTCAATTTCTCATATACATATTGCTCAAATGTTGTTGGACAAACAAATTGACTCAATAACATCGACACCGGATCGACAATGAGTATTAATACAGGGTGTCCCCCAAAAAAGTACCTAAAAATTATCTTGTTGTTGTTAAGCATCGGATTTCATGCGCTTGGTAATTAAAAATTCAATTCAATTGTGTTTACGCACTCTTGTGTTCAGCATAGCTCAGGCATTCAAATTATAACAATAGGATAATTTCTATAGAGGGTACTTTTTTGGGACACCCTGTATATCAGACATCATAACATGCAAATAGCAATTGTTCTATATCACAATATGTATATGTTCTTTTGAGGCAACGAGGGGATATGTGATTTACCTTATTATAGGAAATTAACGATGCACTTTATTAACGCGGATTTAAAAAATTCGCGTTAATTTAATTAATGTTAATTTATGTTATCGTTAATTTCAAGCATGTAAATTTTAGTTATAGTTAATTAAAAAGACCTTGATTTGTTTTATATAACTCTTTTAACTCAAAATGCATCATTTTGAACCTCAAAACAAAAACATCAGTCCACCTCTTCACTGTCACTGTCACTGTCACTGTCACTGTCACTGTCAGAACCTTAAGCTGAACTATATATATTTATATACATTTGGCTTAAATAACTTTAACTTTCAACGTTACAGTTTTGATATATAATACTTTTGCTGTTGTGTTTATATTCTTCGACTCGCGTTAGTTAAATTAACTTGTTAGCCATAAAATGTCAAATTCGCGTTAATTTAATCAGTTTTAGAAGTACCTGAAAGCAATTCGCGTTAATTAGATGACAGGTTAATTTACGTCGCGTTAATAAAGTGCATCGTTAATTTCCTATAATAAGGTATTCACCGAGGCGCACAGCGCCGAGATGAATAAACACATATCCCCGAGGTTGCTTCGTCAATGCTGCATCTTTTTTTCCCATTCCTTCCAGTAGGAAGGATACAAGGCAGTAGGCTTATGGCAATGTTCATCTTTTGTTCATCTAAAACAATTTAATTTTTTTCTTTTAATTTTAAATAATCTAACACCTTGTGACAGTTAAATGTGGACTAACATGCAGTTGCACTACAACACCAATCTTAAGTAAAGATATGTGCTAGTGAAAAAACTATACATGTATACTAATGAATTAACTGATAGGGTTGCACTGCACTGTCCCTTACAAAAATGAAATAATCTGTTGTTAATTTTAATAGACATAGTAAAATAATACAGCAGGCAAATTAGGTTACAAATTGTTTGCATGTGCTAAACATTACAACAATTCAGCTCGTTTAGAGATAAAACTGCATACAGATTGTACAAAGGCTGAGGATGCATAATTATGCAGATTTATCTACATACTGTATAAGAGGGTCGTGAAGGGGGAGGGGGTCCTAATCCCATTTCCCAGTCCAGATTTTTTGAGCAAATCCCATGACAGGAACATTATCCCGGAGCCGACGGCGCGAAGCGCCGTGCGAGGGTACTAATCCCCCCCGGCTATTTACATCCGGGGAAACGAAAGCATTAGCCAAGTCTAAAGTTCATCAATGAGCGCGGGCGTGGTTACCATGGGCGTACCAGAAGGAAAAAATTAGGGCGGCGGAAAGAAATTTGCCCGACTTTTTCGGATTGTGCCCGACCAGTGTCGACAAATTATTTTCTGGAACAAATTAATTTTGACGACCTCCTGTCATGAATAGCGGACACTGATTGGTCCAATTTAAAGTGTGCATTATAACGACTGCATGACGACAGCGAAATAGCAAACATTTCTTGATTTGATGATTGTTAAATTTCTTGCAAATATATTTCATTTTTGCTCGCATTCCTGCAAGATTTTGTAAATTTTAAGAAAGAAAGGGCGAAAGAATCGGCTAAAAGAAGGGAGCCGACGTTAACGAAGGTAAGTTTGTTTTAAATATTGATTTTATAATACAATAAAGCAATTAGAACGTACTCGTCTGGAAAAATTTTTCCCTAAAAAGTTGTTGACCGGTGGAGGGGGGGGGGGAAGGTTGTTGCTGTCTGAAAAAATTTTTTCCGGAAAATAAATTTGAAATTGGGGGCCCTAAAAAAATTTGCCCGGGCCCCCAACAAGCTCTTGGCGGCCCTGCTTTAATACGACTTTTAATATTCGAAGTTTTTGAGAATGAGTGTACTTATCAACTTGTCTAACGCGAGGAAAAGATCAAAATGGCAGGTATGGCTGTGATATCTAGTATATAAAATTGTATAGACAATTTGCCTACAAATACGGTGCTAGGTCAAAACGGCCCCGCTTCAATAATCATATGATTTAGACCAGGGGTTAAAGGGCAATGACAATGACATGCAGGTGACATTTTACATGCGCGAGTGTGCGTCTCACTAAATTTGCGTGTTTAATGTTTATCAAAGAAGGCAAAAATATGCAAGACAACCTGACATGTGGAATCTGTTCACTTATACGCACAGCCTTGTGATGCAGTACAAGTACAAATACAAATGACAAAGTATTTTTAAAGGCTTTAAATCAATAAATCCTAACACATAATTAAATCATACCGCACATTCAAGATATCGTATTTCTGCCGCGTTTATACTGCTTGGCACGCATTCGCTGCGTTATATTAATTTATATACCTATATTTTATTGTCTGTTATAAACACAGATTTATTACTAATAAATCAACACTATATGATAATATAGAACTCACAAAGGGCAGTCACCTTTTTATAAATAAACCTTTTTAAAAGCATGTCATTGTCATTGCAGACCAGAGGCAAAAAGCAAAAGCACCCCGTATAATGCTCGAACCACAAGAGCAATAAAAGCGCATGCGCCATTTATCTCATTTTGGATAAGATAAATTCGATTTCCCCAGAGTCATGCCACTGCATAACCCGCGAACAGGCATACTCTGGGAACGAGATTGCCTTAATATTATATATTACTTGTAGCCTTGTCTTGGATACATGCAGTAATTATCTAATTGAAAATTTACAAAAAATACAGAACAGGGCTGCAAGGGTCATTTCAGGCAAATCGTATGAGATTAGATCGTGTGAGATTTTATCAGAACTTGGTTGGCGGCCACTGGCAGAACGAATGAAATTCAAAAAGGCAACGTTCATGTATAATGTGAAAAACAATAATTTAAATGAGCGTATGACAGATATTGTTGAAATTAGTAACAATGAATTTCATAATTTGTGAAGTAATGCTGTTAATTTCCATATTCCTAGGCCTAAAACCAATTTTTTGAAAAAAGTATTAGCTACTCTTTGGCTTTACTATGGAATAGCTTGCCAATTTAAGCAAAAGAACAGGTCATAACGATTAATCAATTTAAAAGTATTCTTGGTAGCCAATGCTGTTTCTAATCCTGTTGTTTCTAATCCTGGTTTGATATATATATATATATATATATTATTTAGTGTGTTTTAGTATTAGTATATAATAGGTTTTTAATATTGTATTCAAACGGCCCGTTGAAAATCAGTTTATTTGTGCTGAAGGGCTACCATTTTTAAATAAGTTCAGTTAAATAATAATAATAAAAAAATAATAATAAAAATGTATATTTGAATGTATTCAGCGAGGTGGCGTTGCGTGCGGCGAAGTGAAACGTGATACGGTTCGATTTGTAGCCGGAGGGTACGCCTGATCCGGCGTCTTTGTATATTATGGTTGATAGTTGTTGATCATGATTGTATTTATTAGTTGTATTTATATGGCCCAGACCTACTGTATTCCTATATCTACACATCACTGACCCTACCACGAAAGTTGCCACTTTCAGGCCAGTGTGGACGCCTGAGCAAGCGTCTTGTTTACAATGCAACGCGAGCGATTATTTTCCTTATGAAACACAAGAACATGTATTTTGGAAAATCTTACCCAAAGTCGATTTTTGAAGTCCAAGATCTTGTTGGATTCAATATATTTTCACGGTCAGGCCGTGATTAGATCCTCTTGTAAGTTGTAAACATCTCTTTGTCGGATTAAAATTACATCCCGGCCTTTACGAAACACGAGACTTATATTGTCATTTGCTGAAACTGCTTTAGTGTCCGAGTCCGTCGGAGCTGTCTCCGTGGTTCGTGAACACTGTAGGATTTTAAGCCTCGGCAATCGCTACCGGATGTCGTAACCATTAGAAGCGGGAATTTCATTGGATTACTGCTAATTCCAGGCATTATATGACATTTTAATAAACTACTAAAAAATACATGACAAAACAATTATATTTTCCAAACATGAAGTATTGTTATAGTAACACGAATAGTGAATAAGAATAGTTTTAAAATTGAAAAATCTCCCCAAAATATCACTTTTAATTACAAAATGATCAACTTCCCAAACATACATATGCCGTCTTTTTTCACTTTATATATACGCAACGATCGTATCAATTTTTAAATCAAAAATTACCAGAGGCGCCGGAATATCGATAATTGGTGCAGATATTCATATATTCGTCTTCTGCCCAATTAATTTCTTTTGAAATCGATTGTTTTTACAGTCTGTGAACACGAATATATGAATATCTGGCCCCGCTATTATCGATATTCCGGCGCCTCTGAAAATTACGTCAATATTAAAAACAAACTTACCTTCATTAACGTCGGCGACTTTGCTCCATTCGTTTAGACGTTTTTAGACGGTTTTCGGCTCTCAAAAAAGTTTTGAAATTTGCAAAATCTTGCAAAAATACAATATATTTGCTGATTTTCAAGAAATGTTTGTTATTTCGCTGTCGTCATTTGTCATACAACAACAAGAAATTTTAAATTTGACCAATCAGTGTTCTCTATTCATGATAGTCCGCCACATATTCAGAGATCAGAGAGTATTTATTTATTTATTTAATTCGCCTTGTACATATTACAGTGGCAGGGAATCCGCAACAGCGTTTGCCAATTACTGCGGGCCCGAATAACTATAAATTACAACAATACATATATTAAACAAAGAACAGTACTAACAGTTCCTACATACAGCACAATAATGACGCTGTGAGGCTACGAACAGAATTACACTTAGGACATATAGTTTTATAACTACGAGGATCCTCAACATCGTAACACGAGTACAAAGAGGAAATATAGTACTTAAACATTGCCGACTTAAATGACGAAAGACTATCCGTATTCAAATTAAGTTCATCAACGAGATGGTTCCATATTCGAGTTGCCCAAATCATGAAAAATCTTTGGTATGTTACCGTTTTGCATTTTGGCACGACGAACTTAGGACTGTTATTGGCGGAGGATCTAGTCAATCTGGAAGTGCGGATAGTTGGATGTAGTGATGCTTCGATGATTACTAGTTTGTGAGTTATTTTATAAAAGAGTACCATGTCTAGATATTCATGCCAATAGCAGATCGGTAAGAGTCCTAAAGTTTGAAGTCTGGTGGTGTAGTCAGTAGAGGAGGAGAATGGAAGACTAAGGATGTATTTGGTTGCTCTTCTTTGAGTTCGTTCAAGGTGGCGTATTAGTTCGGTGGATTGTGGTGCCCATATTTGGGTAGCGTACCCCAGGTGTGGCCGAACTAGTTCAAGGTATAATGTGCGTCTCACTTCCTGGTTGTGGATATAGATTGTGGATCTCCTGATGTAACCCAATAGTTTATTTGATTTTGCTGACTGCTCGTACACTTGTCTATTCCAGGTTAAGCTTTTATCCACAAAAACGCCGAGATCTCGTTCACATTCAGTCTGTACTAAGTTTCCGTTGTTAAGTTTGCAATTAAATGTTAATGGTGTTATCTTTCTTGTTATACGTTGTGTCTTGCATTTCGTTTCGTTAAAATTGAGACCAGACTCTTCAGACCACGTTTCTAAATGTTTGAGATCGTTTTGAAGCTGTTCGCTGTCTTTGACGGACTTGATGTTTTTGAACAGTTTTGTATCATCAGCAAACATAGCAACATGACTAGATGTAACTGTATCTGGAAGGTCGTTGACATAGAGGCTGAATAGGACTGGACCAAGGATGGACCCTTGAGGCACACCTGATGTAACTGGAAGGGTAGTAGAGGTGGAACCTTGTGCAGTTACACGTTGATGACGATTGGTTAGGTAAGATTGAAACCACTGCAAGAGACTACCTCCAAATCCAGCCATCCGTAATTTGTGCAACAGATGTTTATGGTTTACCTTATCAAACGCCTTAGACATGTCAAGATACACAGCATCGACTTGACCTCCAACATCCAAAATCGAGCCAATATAGTTGAGAACTTCGAGAAGATTGGTCACGCATGATTTTCCTCTGGTGAATCCGTGCTGCGAGGTCTTAATTACCTGGTACAGCTGCTCCCTAATGTTATAAAAGACGCAGCGTTCCAAAACTTTCGACACAATTGAAAGGAGTGAGATTGGCCGGTAGTTTTCAGCATATTCTTTTTCACCTTTCTTGTACACAGGAATTATGTTGGCGATTTTCCAATCTTCCGGGAGAGCACCTTGACTTAGGGACTTATTAAAAAGCGTGCACAAAGACGTTGAAATAACAGGAGCAGTTTCTTTAAGCAGACGGGCTGGGACGTTGTCAGGTCCTGTGGCTTTTGTAACATCCAATGTTTCAAGAACTGCTTGAACTTCCTCAACTGTCAGAATTATCTCAGACAAGACTGGAGTTTCGAGGTCATGGCTGGTTTCTTCCCTCAAAGAGTCATCAGAGTCAAATACTGATGCAAAGTAGCTGTTAAACATGGACGTGATATCATCAGGGTTGTCAGCTTTGATCCTGGATGACTGGGATTCATGACCGTTCTTTGTTCCAGCTGTAGAGATTGACCACCCACTCAACAACGTTGGTCACCCACGCCCGCGATCATTGATGAACTTTAGACTTCGCTAATGCCTTCGTTTCCCCGGGTGTAAATTATTATTATTATTATTAGTTTAATAAAATCCATTTTGCAGCTAAAGCTGAATTGCATGGAAAGGATATTTACAATATTAAACATTAAAATTTACGTTAACAATGTTATATACTTATTATTAACTACCTATTATAAAAATGTATTAATAAAATGTTAACTATATTTAATGGTAAAAAAGTTCTTTAACCGTTCAGACATAATCGGACGGAATTAGTGCCCTCGCCCCGGGCTTACGCCCGGAACGGCGCTGCGCGCCGTTGGCTCGGGAATAAAGCCGGTTTTCCACTAGGCGGAATTTTGTGCGGGTAGAACAGCTAGGATTTGTTACGTATGCGAACAGCTGGGAAATTTGTTGCGCATGCGCCAGAGACGCTCGCGGTTGGCAGAAAATTTTTTTGGGATCACTTTAAGGCTTGGTTACCAAGCACTGAACTATATATGTTGATATGTGCAATGGACCATTGAACGTTACCTTTACTTTCTCAGTTTCTCTATTAAATATATAGCTTATAAAGCAATAAAACGCAAACGGTAACACAATCTGATAAGTAACTGAATTTTATGATGGACACTAAAGTGCCTTATAATGGTTGTCTAATAACATATTGTGACATGAGTGAGGGGGTCTTCTTTATTACAGTTAAAATATTTCACTTTGTTTAGAATATTGCGGTAACTACTGTGAATGTAGCTCTGCGTTCGGCAAAATATACATCATGATATTCAGCATCATGCTATCCTATTGTGCGATTGTTATATACATTAAAAAAATGATGAATCTGGGGCTGAAGCTGGTGCAAATTGCACAATTGTTCCCAAGTTGGATCTTGGTACTGGTAGTACATTGACATTGCATAAAATTACGACAAATCAAAATCTTTTCTAAAACCTAATACAAATAGTTGCCAAATGATATTATGAAACCGAGTTTCTGTCAAATAGAAAGCAATAAGTAATTATCCCAAAGAATTTTTAGGAGTATCGAAATGAAATTTCAATCTTTGTTCAAATTTGCTCGAAATTTGTTCGCCAGCGAATGTAGACAAAGCAAGATTCGGAAGAAGAACCACAAGAACGAACTTTAAATATCATTTTCAGGCTTAAAGATGAATAACAATGTTTACATAATACATAAATACAATACTTTTATATTACGCGATACGTATTACGTAATGATAACAAATTATCCATTGTATTTATATAGCTCAGTGCTTGGTAACCAAGCTTTAAAGTGATCCCAAAAAATTTTTCTGCTCGCGGCGGTTGTTGTATATTTTTAAATGCCTGTTTAATCTTTATACTTTTTTTGCTTGAGACAAAGTAAACTGTACTCTACACCTCCAGTGTATAGAATATCTCGTTTGAACACTAATAGAATATTATAATCAATATAATCTTGACACAAACAAGAAGACACTCTTGCCCGAGGTAAAGCCAATCGTCGCGAGCTTGACTGACCTTGCCAAACGCAAAACAAGTACAAATTTGGGCTCAAACAGAAAGAAGTTCAATGTTAATACTATATAAATATACGGGTCGTATGTGCACTTGTATGTTCGATTCTACTAGTTAAATAAGTAAGATATCCAAGAAACACTGGTAAATTATCGTTGTCAAAAAAACATTTCATAGTAGTCATAGTCAAGGGCAAGATCAAGTTGTCGATTTCATTACATTTTACAGCACTTCGAATGTTTTCACCTCTTGCTTCATATAAGAGCAGTATACGCACGTATTTCAAAGCGAAATAAGACGCATACACTGTAAATTTCAGGGAGTAAAAATTACCCCTTTGAAGGTCAAAAATTACTCTCTTGAAAGGAGTAACTGATTTTAGGGTAGAAATTACTCCATAATGCAGGGTAGTTAGTAGCCAAATCGTTGAATACGGAGGGGTAATTGAGGGGTAATTGAAAGAGGGGTAAAAATTACACTGGTTTTGCGGGTAATGTTACGCGGTGTATATTCGGGGGTAAATTTTTACGGGGTAAAACTTACCCCTTAGTTACCCTTCAATTTTTCAAGATGGCGGCGACGCATGGAGTGGCAGAGACCCGCAGAGTCTCTTCTCGAGTATACGATTGAAATTTAACCGATTAATTTCATACATCAAGCACATAAATTTGTGGCCATCGAATGAATTGATGACTGGCGTCTTCATGGGGCAAATCATTGTTATTAAATGTGTTGGCGTCGCCAGCTTCCTCAGTGTTAGCGTCGTCAATGTTTTCGACATTCGTCTGAATACGTTTGATGTGCTTTCGCCGAAAAAATGATCCACAGATGCAATAATTATAAGACATTTATATGGCTTGTGCCTTTGGTTTATAGATTTCACACCACTCGCTTATAAGCGACTCCGGTACGAAAACATAGAACACTAAGTTTCATTCCCAAATTATCGTATAAGGTATAAATTGCCATTGGGCATGCAACATGCGGCTGGTTTCAATTCATTAATCAACGTTGCGTGTTGCCGGTATCTGTCAGTTTTGATGCCGCGGAGATAGTAAAGCTCGTGCAGATTGGTTAAAAGGTCTCCTATTTCGTTTTACTTTGTTCTATTATTGCCTATTCATGCCCCCAAAAGAGTCCCTGAAACAACCAAATTTGTGATCGCGTGACACGCTTATAATCGTGACCTTGTTATTTTGAACTTATCACAAGAAACCTTAGAAACGAACAACCTAAGGGTTTATTTCCGCCCACTGGCCGTATCATATACTATTAAAATGTAGGCAGTTGTTTTTTTTGTGAGCACTCGGGCAACATTGATGATTTTGGAAAAAAGAAAATACCTATATGACTGTAAATTTCAGGGAGTAAAAAAATTACCCTTTTGAAGGTCAAAAATTACTCCCTTGAAAGGAGTAATTGATTTTGGGATAGAAATTACTCCACAATGCAGGGTAGTTAGTAGCGGAATCGTTGAATACGGAGGGGTAATTTAAAGAGGGGTAAAAATTACACCGGTTTTGCGGGTAATGTTACGCGGTGTATATTCGGGGGTAAATTTTTACGGGGTAAAACTTACCCCTTAGTTACCCTTCAATTTTTCAAGATGGCGGCGACGCATGGAGTGGCAGAAAAACGCAGAGTCTCTTCGCGAGTATACGATTGAAATTTTACCGATTAATTTCATACATCAAGCACATAAATCTGTGGCCATCGAATGAATTGATGACTGGCATCTTCGTCGGGAAAATCATTGTTATTAAATGTGTTGGCGTCGCCAGCTTCCTCAGTGTTAGGCTGTTAGCGACATCAATGTCTTCGACATTCGTATGAATACGTTTGATATGTGCTTTCGCAAAAAATGATCCACAGATGCTACAATTATAAGGCATTTATGGCTTGTGGCTTTGGTTTATAGATTTCAAACCACTCACTTATAAGCGACTCCGGTTCGAAAACATAGAACACTAAGTTGCATTCCCAAATTAACGTATAAGGTATAAATTGCCATTGGACATGCAAAATGTGGCTGGTTCCAATTCTTTAATCAATGTTGCGTGTTGCCGGTATCTGTCAGTTTATATGATGCCGCGGAGATAGTTAAGCTCATGCAGATTGGTTAAAACGTCTCCTATTTCGTTTTATTTTGTATTTTTGTCCTATTATTGCCTATTCATGGCCAAAAAGAGTCACTGAAACCACCAAATTTGTGATCGTGATACGCTAATAATCCGGCGTGACCTTGTTATTTTGAACCACAGTTTGAACTTAGCACAAGAAACCTTAGATACGAACACCTAAGGGCTTATTTCCGCCTACTGGCCGTATCATATACTATTAAAAATGTAGGCAGTTGTTTCTTTTGTGAGCACTCGGGCAACATTGATGATTCCAAAAAAAAATACTAGACTAACTGCCCAAGATCCTCTTGAGGAGAGTGCGAGGTTGGTCAGGTTGCGTGCATGATTTTACTTTGGGCCATGCAATCAACATTTCTCGCGGCGGGGCGCAAATAATTTTGAACACAATGACTTAACTTATCTGTTCACGTGTTGTATGTGCACCAATCAGCGGATGCGCATTTTTGGCGTCGAGTTAGAACACTGTGGTTACAAGTTACAACGAATAAAAGAACGAAGCGATCAGGCTTGTCATTTTCGCGCTCCGTTTGGGTCAAAAGCAATGTTGAATTTGTATCATTATTAACCTATTTCACAGGTAAGCGCTACTTATTTTGTTTGATATATACTAATATTTACACAAGGTTTCATTGTCGCGGAATCTGAATCTAGATGTACATTAATATATGTACGATATATACAGTATATGTGCATTACAAGGTCGTATAATTCTTGCGTGACTTTGAGTTCCTCTGCATGGTTAGTAAATTGTACACGTATAAACGAACATCATGTTGCCGGCAAAGCGCATTGATTATGTACGCCGTATCAATAATCCTATGTTCATTTCTACATTTATCACATTTCTGACTCTTAAATTGCCATATAGTTACTTTGAGATTATAAAGGATTTGAGACTAAATTACTACCATCGAATGTTCCGCGTTAAACTATATTGCGTGTTAGTTTGTTTGCACAAATCGAGACTAGAGCAAGCTGAAGCATATTTCATTGCGTGGTTGGAATGTGAAAAATGTGGTTTTGATCAACAACAGCGCTACGTTCGGTGCTATTTTGCATGTAATGCGTTCTTGATATGTTGAAACTCTTCAGTCATAACAGTTCTCCTAATTCACCTTTCTGTAAAACACCATGTGAAATTTGTTAATATAATACTAGAATACCTATTTTTTTCAAAATATACAGAAATTTAATTTAATCGTGCATGATCAGTGTTTGAATAGATTAATGTAATTTCAGTGCAGCTGTTATTTATGGTAAAAATTCATATTAATATTTATAGGTAGAATTCAAGAATTCCAC